TCGAATAAAAAAAAAAAAAAAAAAAAAAAAAAAAAAAAAAAAAACTCAACTACATGTATTGACGTGTACTTATAACAAGCTCCTTTTCAGAACCATCTGCACACATCCATGAGATCATGAGATCAGAGCTTATCGGAGCATCGGCAGATCAGCTCTCCGATTTCAAAAAGAAGATGAGAAGCTCGCGTTTAAAACAATGAATGATTTTTGTTACAATTTGCATATTTGCAGCATCATCCAAATATCCAATACCTGTTAGAAGTCTCAAACTTTTTCAAAAAAGCTAAGTAGATAAGTCATAATTCCTGTTTGGAGCAGTGCATTGGATCACAATGGGCAAAAGCACACAATGAATGAGAGCGACGGGGAGAAAAAAGGCAGCCGGACAAGTTGCGTAAGGACGGTGATGAAGTGTCCGGGAAAAGAGTGTAAGTACCTACTTATAGGTACATGAGAAATTAGGTGTGTAGAGTCCGTACCGTACCGTACTATACGGACTCCATACAATTTAAGTGCACGGCGCGCACGCACTATCGCTAATCGCACAATGAACCGCGTATTCTTTCCCACTCGATATGCTTACGCAGAGAGAAAGAGAGAGAAAACCAGTAGCGGGGCGCCGGTAGGTGGTGTGGTGGGCTCTCTTGAAAGAGAGAGAAAGGAGACCTGGGTAATCGGGTTGTTGTCGGGACACTCGGGTATTGCCGCGTCAGTATTCGCTGTTCTCTCCGACCTTGTGTATAAGCCTCTCGTACGTTTCGCTCCCTTGCGTGTAAGTACTGCTGTGTTGATATACAGTTGCCGTCCATCCTTCCTCGTGCATTTCGTCGTCTTTGTCGCCGGTAAGTGCTTTCTTCTCTTCTTCCCTGCAGGTTCATTAATTAAACATAATATACTTACCTCGACAATTAAATATCTAAATTATCATTAAGTATTCCTCTTGATGGGAATGAGAGTGAGTCTGTTTTTGGCTTTTCGGAGCAACAAGCCGACTTTAAAGGACTCTCACTCACCATCACCAATGCTATATAGTGCGGGGGAAGAGATAAATTTGGGTGTGTGCTTCCTTCAGCGATATGTCTTTGTATACGTAGGTATACCTGTTGTAAAATATAATGACGTGTGCTCCTCTGGAGTAGTAATTGCAAAATAAAGTACACGAACGACCGGCTTCCCTTTTTCCGTCTGCACGGAGATAGGTATTTTAGTTTTTTCCTCGCAGTGTTTTAATCATAAGTGTGAGTGGGTATAAATGTATACCCTGCGAGTGGGAGAGACAGGGAGACGCGTTTGGCCGGACTATAGTTTATTTTATGTTTTCGAAAGGACGATCCAAGTGCCGGCAGAACTTTAGAGGGATAATGATGTTTTGGGGCGCGCGATAACAAGCGATAAAAGTGCAAGGACGAGAGAGAGAGGATCTGCCATTTTGCTGAAGCGGTGATGTGTCCGCGTTCTTATATATGTATACGGACCCATCTACACATGTAGTCACATCCTTCCTGGTATATATATATATATAATAATTATACGCATCGCACCCACGCCCTGTAGGATAATTCGCTCTGGTTTTTTTATTTTGTGAATTTAGTGAAGGTTCCCTACCACGTTGTGTGGACACATATACTTAGGTACATTATACACACGTATATTAGAGTGCGTACGAAATTGATATACGTGGCAGGTATGAGCGAATGTGTAAGGCTGGATTTTGAGAAATTCAGACATTGGTCGTTCGATTTTATCAGACGTCAGCAGAATGACTCACTCGCTTTAATCGCGACAGAAGATGCGTAAAAGACTGGAGGGCCACACTACGGGACGTACATTTGTCGCTTCTGTCGAGTTATACTTAACCAAAGTTGGCATTTTTTTTTTGTCAGAATCAATCAAATATAGGTATATACATACAAGTTGTGTGGGCTTAAGAACAATTGTTCACGAGAGAATCATCAACGATAAGACCGAGTGTAGGTATGACTTTTTTAAACCAGAGAAAATTGTATCGACGGTTAAGTGTGTGGGTTATTTTGCCAGTGTTGATTTCTTTAATTGCCAAATTGATGGTTTCGCGGCGAGCGATGATGATAAATGTTTTGATAAGGTATACACGCAACTACGTTTAAATTGTCCTTAAGCTCAAACAATCTATAGTACGCTTTTGATGTTAATACATTAACTGTTTCGTTGACGATGTACACCATTAACATTTTATTGTTGGATTAGTTTTAGTATTTATTTAATCGCAAAATCATAAGATTAGTGTTTAGTTAGCTTTGTGAATTTTTTTCTTTATTAATTTGTCGTGTATTTTCTATATTATTTAACTATTCATGATTCCTCCTGCTCAGTTTGAAACTAAGTTTGACGGTTTACATTAACAGATATTTTAATTCAATGTAACCGTCAAGTTAACTGCTATATCGTGCGAATTAATACTTAAACACTTGTAACATTTTTTTCCAAAAATTGATAAAACTTTATTCTATTCTATTGTAACTGTGTATTATATATGTATGATAAAAACTTTCTCTGACGTATCCAAAATTATCAATCTATACATTTTTAAATTACGGTTTAAAACACTAAGAGAGATAACGTCACTTCTAGTATTGGTCATATCGGATGATTTTGGTAATTAGGTACATATATATTCATAGATTGCATCAGCCGACTTCTTCGTCATTTTGCTTGTAACGAAAAAAAAAAATTTCAACTCCAAATTTCCGTAATAATTCACAATCCAAATTTTTTTACTCGCAGCAGCCGGTATACACACGGGCAGCAGGTGTTTCGTATCGTACCTAAAAATCGTTAGCAACCCCTTGGTCTTGATGGTTTTTTTTTAATAGAATCGAATATCCTTTTCAATGCAAAGCCGAGGAGTCGTGATCAGTGAGCGAAAAAGCGATGGTGTACAATATTATCGCAAAAGAACGGAAGTCCCGTGGCTCTCTCTCTCTCTCTGCTATTGACGACGACGCCTCGAATGTCAATGAGGAGAAGACGGAGAACTCGAGGATTTGAAAATGCTCTGGAAGCCGATGTCCTTCTTTCTCAACTTCAATTATTTGACGTATGGGCTTTTTGTTTATTCTTCAAGAAACTTTCGAATATATAAATCCGTTGGAAAATTATTTTCAATTGTGTGTCTTATTGACAAGGCCACCGTATTTTCATTGGAATACTTATCCGTTCGTTGTTGTTTTCGTCGTGAAAACAGATGGCTTCGCGGTCAGGTAAGGAAAAAAATCTTCGGCAAAAAAGCCAACCTTATAAGGCCGCGTGTATATAAAATACCTCTTAACTCTTCCTTTCGAATGATCTCAACGGTAAATGGAACGACGACGACAGTTGGCGCTCTCGGCGAAAAGTAAATTGGTTGATTATCGATTCTATGTGTTGTTGTGTAGGTACCTACGTATGATCGGCGCGCCAAAACATCTGTACAATTATACCTTTGTACGTACATATGCTTTTTGGTGTTTGTTTTTGTTTCAACGATACTTATAAAATGCCTACACCGTTTGCGCTTCTCGTTTTAATTGTGCGCTTTTGTTTTTTCTCCTTTCCAATGACTCATGCGCACTTATCGATCCCACGTGTTTAATATTAATTGTTCCACGTAAAGTTTTATTTTTTTTTGCTTTGCCAATTATTGAGACTCAAATTTAATCAATACACATGTACCTACTTCTCTTTGTTTCTTCGTTGAATGATACGAAAGTGCGTGCGAGTTATTTCCGGAAATCGTGCACAAAGTAAGATAATATAACTTACGTGTTGCAAGTATACCCACCTACTGTACGTGTAACGTTAAACTCTTTTATCAATAGCGAGAGATACTGTCGAAACATTGATGTTACGTATGTCAACAGTAAGGCGAAAAATAACTTTATCACCGCGTTGAAACAGATGAGTTACCACATATCGCAATTCCTTTTTTTTTCTTTTTTTTTCAGTACAATAAGGGTTTTATGCGTAGGTAAAATGTTGGCATTTTATATATAGATTCCGTGAAACGTAGAACCACTTGTTCATAAGCAATACAAGAATATGTGAATTCGATAAAGTTAAACGTTCACTGTATATGCCTACACACACACACACACAAAGCCATGTCGAATAATCCCAAAGTACGATACTTAACAAGCGCGTACCTACACAATATACTATTGTCACTAATCACCGATGCCGAAAATGAAATCGTCAGCAATTACTCCCATCCCAAAAACATCTGCTATACACACATTAAACGTATAACATATAATCGTTATCAACTTCGAATAAAAAAAAAAAAAAAAAAAAAAATCAAAGTTTCAATACCACAACCACAAACTGTATAGTTTACCCATGAAAAAACAAAGTAAAAGAAACAATAAAGGGCGGAAGATCGGGTCTATACTTTGTAAGTCGGAAAAAGCGCGCCCTTCACCGCTATGACTAGCGTGTTTGGGCGTGGTTTTGACAGATGCAATTGATAGCACCAGCATCCGGATCTATATATGTATGTATATATACATATATGGAGATATAACACATCAGAGAGACAAGCATCGGTTTCTCTTTGTCTCGTGATCTTTGCCGAGGAAGCTCTCGGGACTTATATATGTATAAATGTACCCACTGAAAAAGTTCATCCGTCCCTCCGGAGAGCCATCATGTACATGCATAACAATGGGTGTATATATACTACCCAAATTTTTGTGGCAAACCAGAGCATTTTTCTTTCTCAAGGGACAACCTCACATTATAAAATCCGTATGAAGGCTTAATTCCTTAAATGTTCATATTAGAGGTCGTTATGGTGTCATATATTTATATACTTACATAAAGACAATGAAGAACCAAGCCGAACGACAATAAATCGCTGTACAGCACTCCGAGCAAGAGAACAATCGTTTTGTGCTCAGCGCCGCTCAATTGTAAACACACGAAGAGGGTGTGATTTTTCACACGCGTTTATGTATACTTACTAAGCTCTTTTGTTTCGCACGCGTGTCATTTTTTTTTTTTTTTTTTTTTTTTTTTTTTTTTTTTTTTTTTTTTTTTTT